GCCCCAGACAGCATAGCTCCCAGGATCATCCGAGTACTCAAACTCCCCCACCACGTTAAGGTGGCAGTCCAGGGGGGAGTCATCAGAGAATACTTTATACATTCTTCACACACGTGCACGAAAATTTTCAGAATTTTCTGGTCTTGTCTTCATGACAAAAATACTATTTCTCTGCGTCAAAAAGCGATCGTGAAAAACCCGGAAGTAGTTCCGGCCGCTCAATAAACGCAAATGCCAATCAATCAACGCAATGAAATGTTAATCGGAGAAGACACTATACAAATACATTATTAATACAAGTGCACGGAAGTTTTCAGAATTTTCCGTTTATGTTTTCATGACAAAAACACTGATGTAATGCGAGAAAAGGCGATCCCAAAAATCCCGGAAGTAGATACCGGCACATTTTCAGACACATTTGCAGAGGATCAAATTATGGATTTAGGTTAGGTTTATGTTTGGGTCACTCACCGCTGATGTTCACAATTCTTTGTTCAGTTTTCATGCAGTTCCAGAGAGTTATAGTTTGGAAGTTCCCAGCCTAACTGTTGCTAGCATAGCCACGGGAAAGCCTTTGGGAACTATTTTATTTTCTGTCATTAAATAAACCTTTCGGCATTCCTAAAAGTGGACCAAAGTTTATGTTGTGTGTTCTGTTGGTATAAAGCCGTATAATAAGCGGGATAACGTATATTACGCAGGTCATTATCGGAAAATAAGTACTGCTGCTTACATGTATGAATTCAAACAAGGAATAGTGGTGAAAACCTAGCCTGGTCTTACCATACCATTGTACAAACTTAATTTCGTACTGAGGTCTGGACTGAGCTCCATAAACAGGTGGGAGGGGTTTACTTTTTTGCAGATTGAAAAGAGTCGAGTTTACCATGACGTACAATATGTAATGAGCCCGAGTGAGTGAGGCATTTAGCATTTAGCCTAGCATTAGCATTTAGCCTAGCTTTAGCCATCTCCTTTGCCACCAATGAAGCCTGTGGGGAGTAGAGCCACAACATCTTTGCAGCAATGACATTTACTAAACATTTCTCTTGCTCCAGATTCAATTTCTAGATATTTGGAGCGGAACCAGAACAGATTATTTTACTATCACATTCTCCACCATTGCCAAACTACAACTAGCAAATTTGGTGCAAACTCTTGTTGTCAAAATGACTGCTCTGGGAGTTTTAGTAGCTTCACAATTCCGGGAGTCCAAGATTTAAGGACAGTGATGATCCAAGACATGGACTTGTATTGACATTTATGCACATTTATTTACATTATGGACATCGGTCACTCCACTCCCTATGGACCAATATCTCCCATGTGTTATTATTGCATTTCAAAACCTTGTTAAGTCCTCTGAGACGCTTGCTGTTGTGCTGCCGCTATACGAGAATAAATTGAACTGAAAGAAAATACATGTCCTGGTTGCATTCCCAGTTGTTGTTTGTGTTTCTCGACTTGTGTAATGAAATGTTTTAGCTGTAAAATGCTTGTGGGGGATTTTCTCTGCACTGATCCCGTCCTCCCTCCAAACCCGTGCACACCTCTCCATTCTCCTCGCTCTTTCTCTTACTCCTTCTGAACCCTGGGGCCGGCTCCATTCATATTATTATTCATTGGGTTTGTGCGTACAGCCGACAGCGCGGCGTGGACTTCTCAGACCGCGGTGACTCCTTGAGGGCCTCGGGAGAGAGTCATGGCGCTTATTCCTGCAGACAGCACGGACGCACACCGATTACATGCTCCTGCGATCCCACGAGAGACGTACCTTTGGCTGCTCTTTAAAAGCCGATCAATAATAGACTCATGACCCTCTGTCTGAGGCTGAGCACAACAAGACAACTGACAATGTGTGTCATGCTGTGGATGTTGTGTTATTTTACTTGATTTTATTTGGACTAATTTCTCTGTGGTTTTAGTTTAGTTTTACAACCTAATCCATTATCAATGTCTGTCATAGCCTAGTCTAACCATACCATTGTACTCATTTATTTCCGTAGTAAGGTCTGGATTGACTTCGTGAAATTATTTTTTCAGATTGAAACGATTGGTTTGGAGTTTACCGTGATGTACAGTATGTAATGCGGCTGAGTGAGTGAGACATTTAGGAAATGACAATAGATCAGAGTTTGGATGGAATGGATAAGACCAGACCACTTCCTGTTCCTCTGGTTCATTGGCTGCCCCGCCCTCATGTGTTTCCCCTGTGTCTCTCTGTGTGTCTATTGTCTATTATGTACCTGTGCTCCTCTCCCTTTGTTGCTGGTCCATTGCCAATGTCTATTGTCTCCCTGGATCTTTTTGGATTTTCAGGTTTGTTTGTTCCTGGACTTTATAATCATTTAATTGTTATTTTCCTGCATTATTTCTTCCGTGATACAATGAGAGGCAAGCGGTGGAGGTTTCCATGAACCAAGGCTTCCACCTCTGATCTGTGGATCGGAAATCTCTCTAACAAACTCAAATAAGGTCAAACTGCTTCGAGCTTTCCCTTGTCCCAACTTCAGTGGCTTTTGAAAAAAAACACAAACATTGATAACATCCTAAAACTGTATGAACTATTTACACCAGGACTTTCAGAATTCTGAAACTAACAGACGTCCCAGAGCAGTTGTTTTGATGGCTCCTATCCAAATCATTGAAATTTGTCATCTAGTTTGACATTCCTATATATACACTGCAAAAAATGGTAAAATATGAGGTAATCATTCCCTAAATCAAGTGTGTTTATCTTAATTTGAGCACATTCTGACTCCGTTAAAACAAGATTCTCCAATGGGACAAAAAAATTAGTCTTATTTCATGAACTGGCAAATCTTGTTTTAAGGCAGTCAGCAAGTGCTCAAATGAAGATACATTTTGCCGATTTATTCTTATCCTTTTGCAGTGCAGACCCCCTCCCTTTCTGAAATATTCCTCCATATTTGCTCTAATGTATCTAAAATATTCCTACACATACGTCGCCCAGGTGGTCATATTGTTCTGGCTGATCACAGAGACGTTACAAGCTAAATTTAGGATCAAACCCCATCGCGTGGAGTCAAACCTCTTGTATTCCTGTAGACATGTAGCTCGTGGGCCATGATTTAATGACTACCTCCACATCTGTGCAAATTGTTGAACAAAGCGCGCCGCTGAAGCCGCAGTGGGGGCTTCGGCGTTCGTGCTGACTTCGGCGCTTTGACTGATTTTGCTGCGGGCACAGGCTACCTTCAATGTCTCAAACCATTAGTGATTTCTGTACTACTAAAGCACCGCTCCAGGGCTCCCATTTCCTTGCATTACCGTCTACTTTCCACCGTGGAAAAAAATCAAAGGCAAATTCTAATGCTCCTGCCTCGCGCTGGATACACAAAACAGCCAGGTTGGAAGCCAGAAAAGGACTGCGGGCTTTTTGCCAGTCAGAAAAACACCATAAGGAATCGTTTGTCTTTTATTTCAAAGCAGAACAATTTATTATCAAGAAACAATATCAAACAAGAAGGAGAGAAAAACGTCTGTGTGGTTCATAAACTTGTTTTTGCAGAAATTTGATCATTTCGACGCCCCCAGCTCTCAGAAGATGATTTATTAAGCTCGGAGATTCTTTCATTTAATCCTACGCCCCTAGTTACATTTTTATTCTTTCAACATTTCCTTGTGTAAATATAGCACTGTCGGTAGGTGTAGAAACCGTGAGATCACAGCAGAGAAACGAGGAGGAGGCATTACAAAGGGGGATTTCAATGTTATTTAGCAAAAACGCCGTTCGCCCCTCGAGGTCCATATAACAAGAAGTATCTCTGTAGAGAGTCCAAACATAGAATTCATTGGCACATGCAGAAATTTAATTGAAAATGTCAGTTTGGAAGTCGATGACGCATTCTCTGTGCTTGCGGTAATGTGAAAGGTTGACCTGATTCAATGTAGTGAGGTGGGTATAGATCAAGAGTAGCCGACCAGCCTTGTAAGCACTTTTCCGAGTCTTTCAGAAACTTGGATAAACGAAAGACTGAAAATATAGATCTATAAAGTGATTGTAATGTTTCACTGACTCAGACAAGCAAGATAAAAAAGCCATAGAGAGAGAATACTGTCTGTGGAAATGCAGTCCAAAAATTGACCAAATAACGATGTGAGGATTTCGCTGAGACGGACAAAGTGGAAATTGGGATTTGCGAAAGAATTGGGTCAGCGTATTATCAAAACTGTGGATCCTCTAGTCTGCACTGTCTGTCAAAAATGAAAAGAAAATGGACAATGATTTTCTAAGCTACAGAAGTGAAATATTTTGTTTGAAAGTTGGTTCCACTTGAAGAAAACGTTGAAAAAACATTATTACTCTTTTTAAAACTCATTGGCTTGGATAAGTGCTAATACAAATGGAACTTTTTGAGCATTGTCGTAACAACCACAGACGTTATTATTGTTATGTTATTGGTCATGTGGTCATAAAGGCAGGTGGTTTTGAAAAGTGTTCAGATTTAGACAAATATATGATTTTTTTATCTTTCAAATTCTTGTGGGCTAAGTCTATACGCCAAACAACACATGTCGAAAAGACCTGAAGTAAAACGTAATAAGGCTTTTCAAAAGTAGTTGGATTTGGATTCAAAACAGAAGAACCAAAGAACATAGTAAAATTCCCAGAAAAATTCAGATTCATAAAATTATTCACTACAAAATATTACAACTATTGTACACAACCCACGTCAATGTGAACATAATTTAGTGTTATAATTATGCTTTTTCCAGCTGAAACTAGTGCGCTGTGGTTGGTATTTTACCGGGTAGCTATAGCTAGAATTTTGCATGGGTAATTTTGCTTCTAGAAACCCTAAAATCCACCTCATTCACCGCTCTAACACCGGGCCATATCAGAATTCCCACAAAGCATGAGCAATTATCAATTTAACATGAAATACCTCCAAACTGATCATTTTAATCAATTTCTCAACATGTACCAACCCATCGCAATCCGCTCTGTCCATAGAGTCCCAGTGCTTCTTTTATTTTTATTGCCAGTTGAAGGTGCGCCTGACAAGCCTGAAAAAGGTCCTGTTATGCTCCCTTAGAAACGCCCTCAGCTGCTGCAGGACCGAGTTGTTCACCATCGGGTGCGGACGTCCCTTCGACTCGTGGAGACAGCGTTCTCGTCCGTCACTTCGGATGCAGTAAAACCCTTTCGTCTGGTTGAAGTAGAAATTGGACGATACTATCCTTGGCGGTAGGTTTAAGAAGTCCTCCACTTTCTGCAGCTCCGGCAAAGGGTCCCGAATGAGCGCGTCCCCGTCCACGATATGGATTTGATCTAAGGGGAAGTGCCGTAGCCAGTTCCGCATATGGACGTCGTAGAGGCTGCGTTGGATGGCTTTGTATCGCATGTTCAAGACGCCGTTCCGGACAAGCAAGTTCTCAATCGCTTGCACTGGCTTGTGATTCTCCAAACGGTTGAAGTAGACTTGCGTGTAGTCGGAAATCACTCGCTCGGTCGGATCTCGCAGAATCAGCAGAAGCTTTATGGACGAGTTCATGGCAGAGATGCGTTCAGGAGCCAGAGCCGACGTGAAATACCCGGGCGTTTTCTCGATCGTGATCTGGTCCGGGTAGGAGTACGGCATCAAATCGCGATACCACTCGAATCCTTTGCCGTAATTCTCGTCCCAGTCAAAAAAATGGACTTCGGTGGCGGCGGCTGCGACTTCCGGATGGATGTCGAGCATCTCCAGCAACGCTCTAGTTCCACCTTTTCGCACGCCGATAATAATGCTTTGGGGTAATCTTTTGTTCGTCCCAGGAGGAGGAGAAGTGGACGCGTCTTCCGACATATTGACGGATTGGATTGAGTCGAGTTCAATAGGGTCAATGCCAAATTCCTCTTGAAAGAACTCAGGTGGGGCTCCTTGAGTTTGGACAACGCAGAGCAATGCGAACTGTAAGAAGAAAGCCATTTTGGTTGGTTGTAGGTTTTTGAGAATATTGGGGAATATTGTGAACGTTGGCTGTCTATCTGAGTGGAGTGGCATCAGGAGCGGATGGAAATGCAGCCTTTCTGCGCCATTGGAATCGAGAGGGAGTTGAAACAGGCTTCAGTCCATAGCACATCTGCGAAGAAAAGAAAAAGACATTCAGATTAGGCAAGAACCCCATTTTATACAGAAATAGCTCAGTCCATAAGAGCATTATCACAAAAGGATCATCTCAATTCATCGCCTCTCTCTCTTTCCTCTTTCTATTCTCGTCCCCACCTCCATATAGTCACTTCCAATTGATACTGTAATGTCTTTGTCGGAGAAAGATTTGGCCGGGCAGCTCCTTGGTGTCGGGAGATTGCGAGATATGGCAGCTGGCCACTGAACGAGGCCAGAGTGCTTTGTCTTGCCCTTCCGCAGCTCCAAATTTGGGCTAAAAATCAATACACGTTTCGTAGGCCTCCTGTGCGTTCACTTCGAGGTCTTGGAGATGGACACGTTTATAGCAGGAAGCCAAATGAGTTTCCACTTCCAGGTGACTTTGATTTTCAATACGAGACGAGGCGGATCGATACAAAGAGAATGAACCGGCGCAAAAGCAATAAGAATGGAATTTGGGGTATTAAATGAGATTTGTAATATTGAAGAAGAGACTTATCACGGTGAGAACTCCACAAAGTTTTGCTTCTGCAGCTGCGTCTTTGTCTAAAAATATATAATCCTACAGTTACTTTTGACTCAGCCTTTTTTTAAGTGCTAAAAAGTTGTTTGAATACTGTTTTTGATGCTCTCCCCGGTTGGCAAAGGAAGTAGGGCAGGTTGAACAAAAGTTGCCAGTTCATGGCCTTTTCCGATGGGAATTGTTCTTGTTAGTGTGAATCGTCTCTTGGTGTTGGAGGATTATGCAGGAGAAAAAAGGTGTTGCAAAGAAAAATGGAAAGCCTAAAGCTATTTGTAACAATATTTTAACATAGTTTGGCACTTAAGCCGCATTAACACGTTTAATTTCATCTCATAATCCTAGGATGCATCATGATTGAGTTTCATTACAATTTACAGCTTCAGTACCAAACTTACAAACGATAGCAAATGCAACTATGTAATAATATCCGTCTCTCAAAACAGTTTTCACATCTTTAGGTCCGTTTTTTCAGACATAACAGTGAAACAGAGACGACCACCCGAACTTGGTCTCAACCCAAACTGTCAAAAAGTGACTCACAGGGCTCTCTCTTTCTTACAATTATGCGAAAGATAGGCTAGATAGGAGACGGTTTTCTATAAATTCTGTGGTCTTGTATGTTTTGTTTAGTTTCAACAAAAAATAAAGGTGGGTACCGCCGCTTTAAGAACTAGATAGAGATATAGATATGGTTTTATGTTAAGATTTAGGATTTTGATTTTGAACAATCTCTTGAACAACCATCAAGCAATCACAAAACAAATACAAGAGAGAAATATAAAGTATCAGAAAGAAATGATTCAAACAGGTTCAAACTATGTGAGGCACTGTCACATAATCAATTCGATTTGTTTGACCCAAAAACATGGTTCTCAAAGCTGGGATACCTCACTTTTTTCATAAATAATACATGTAGTTTGTCCCAACAGAAAAAAGGGTGAGATCTGTATGAAAAATCTGAGGAAGACCCTAAAATTACATGTAAAAAAAAGTAGGCACCTGAGCTTTAAAACATATGTAGAGGGAGAGAAAATAGTTAAAATAGTCAAACATGCTCTGTGTCAGGTCTTTGTGCCATAGAATTGACATTATTGTTACATACTGTTTTCTCAATCTTCTATAAAAATAACACACACTAAAAATGTGGTCTCATAATGTAGTGTTGAAAGTTGGATCAGATTTCTAAATGTCACGGCGGTAATTAGAATCAAAGTTAAGGAGTGCAGAGCGGAGAAGGAGCCAAGAGTGCCCTGAACTTTAGTCAAAACAGTGGCAGAGGTATGCAAACACGGCAAATGTCATGGAAGGGCTCTGACAGAATGAGCTGACACACACACGCACGCACACACACGCACACGCACGCACGCACACACACACACACACACACACACACACACACACACACACACACACACACACACACACACACACACACGCACGCACGCACGCACGCTCGCACGCACACACACACACACACACACACACACACACACACACACACACACACACAAAGGTTACAACACTCAAGGCGGCACACAGTCTGCAGAACGGATCGTCTTTGTCATTGCAAAACACACAGTGATAATGAGCACACCTCATTCATGTTTTAAACCTGGGCAATGTATTCGTGTGAGTCACAGGCTGTCAAACTGTTAATTTTAATTTTTTATTTCAATGGCAGTTTGTGTAATTTAATTTTCTGTTTCTTTGGTAACATTGTGTGCTTGTATAATGATATGAATTTGACTAACACTATCGTCGAGACAGCGAAGGATGTGACATTTACTGGAAGAACGTAATCGCTGAGTCAAAAGACAAAGCTGTTTGAATCAGACTCTGTTCCCAATTTCACCGATGCTCCGATGACAGACAATAATGTCCAAGTTAGTTTCCTCCGCAGGCTGGCTGGGGTTAGAGGTGTCACGCCGTACAGGTCGCCCGGCATGGCACAGCCCGAGCCTTGCCCTGGAGCCAAGCCTGGGGTTGGGGCTCGTATGCGAGTATCTGGTGGCCTTGGCCCTGAGCCACTGCTGGGTGGCTCTTAAATCTGTTCTGCCTTCCAGAGGATCCCAAGAAAGGATGAAGCTGAAAGGATTATAACTCTACTTGTAAATGCACATCTCCTCCACATTTTATTTCAAAAATAAGTAAAAGTTTTGCTCTTTCAACATCTAAAGGTTGGTCCTGAGGCGCTGACCTGTGTCAACCACGGACAGATTATAGCCCAGTGGCTCATACAAAGTATTTTCAAAGGCACATGTACATAGGGACAAATACTGTACCTTTTGTATACAGTATATATATGTATCTGATGATATTAATGTAAACAGCCAGCACACTGTCTTAGATTCCATCATATCAAAGTTAACCCAGGGAAAACATTGATATTTTGAGCCGAACCAGAAAGTTTTTCTCCACCATTGCCAAACTACAATCGACAAATTCAGCACAAACTCTTGACGTCACCGACATCTACCTAAAACACCCGCCTCCCTCGCAAGGAGGAAACTGCAGACGAAGGAGACGTACTTGTAGGAAATGACAATTGACCGGAGTTTACGGATGGCTAAAAGCAGGCAAAGAATAATCACAGCAAGATTTATGTCATGACTTAAACCACTTCCAAATCAGATTTAAATCAGGAGCAGTGTGAATGCAGGTTCCTTACGCTGCACTTTACCGGTTTCTTTTATAGAAGCGAGTCAAAAACAGATAAATACTTGAAGGAGTTAAGCAAAGACAAGGGGAAAAGCTTTGCTAGAGTTTTACAGTGAACAGAAATATGTTCCAACGCCCGGCACGAGGACAGACCGTGGACAGACCGAGGACAGACCGAGGACAGACCGTGGACAGACCGAGGACAGACCGTGGACAGACCGAGGACAGACCGTGGACAGACCGTGGACAGACCGTGGACAGACCGTGGACAGACCGAGGACAGACCGTGGACAGACCGAGGACAGACCGTGGACAGACCGTGGACAGACCGAGGACAGACCGTGGACAGACCGTGGACAGACCGTGGACAGACCGAGGACAGACCGAGGACAGACCGAGGACAGACCGAGGACAGACCGAGGACAGACCGTGGTCACGCAGCTAATTAAAGTCACATCACATTTGTTTTGACAGCACCTTCGGCCACACGTCACTCTCTTTCAATGAATTCTGAAAAGCAGCAAAAGGGGAAAAAAAAACAGCATGAGTGTGAAGTCCATGAGGAGCAGAGCGTCCAGAATGTGACAGGTCCGAGCATGGACACACACACACAGAGGTACACACATACAGATGGACACACACACACAGAGGTACACACATACAGAGGTACACACATACAGATGCACACACACACAGAGGTACATACATACAGATGCACACACACATATAGATACACACATACAGATGCACACGCACACATACAGATGCACACACACACAGAGGTACACACATACAGATGCACACACACACACACAGAGGTACACACATACAGATGCACACACACATACGGATACACACATACAGATGCACACGCACACTTACAGATGGACACACACAGACACACACACACACACAGACGTACACACAAATAGACACACACACACACACACACACACACAGATGCGCACACACACAGACGTACACACAAATAGACGCACGCACACATACAGATGCACACACACACACAGACGTACACACAAATAGACGCACACACATACAGATACACACTTACAGATGCACACGCACACGTACAGATGGACACACACACACACAGACACATTACATACATTGTGCAACATTATTATCAATATGTAGAATATAATTTAAAAATGAGAAAAAGTAAAAGAAATACATGTTTTATTATCATTCCTAATCCTCTCTCTGACTCAGACTAACTACAGACAGCCCACGACACGTCTCTGAGCCCGGTGAGACAGGCCCTTCTCCCGGGGGCAGAGCGGCGGGAGTGGACAGGGACAATTGGCGGAGACAGGAGGCTTGTGCGGCTGTTCGCTCTCTGCATCGGACCTGGCAGCTCGGCGCCGCGCAGGAGCTGACAGACGACGGCGGCCTGTCAGTGCGCATGAGTGGGTACGTGCACCACCGCCCCCAATGAGCTGCAGGGAAGGTCAGCCGTCCCAGGGGCCCGCGGAGGAATGTGGATCATAGAGCAGGACGAGGGCAGGTGTCAGTGTGTGTGTGTGTGTGCGTGCATGTGTGAGGCTGGAGGTGAGGATATAGCCCGAGGCAAAAGCACTGCTGTTCTTACATAGCAGCAGACATGATATATTTTATCAGAGCAGGAGTGAATATGAAGAGTTGTGTATACAGTATATACAGGTGAGACTCAGGGAATTCGGAAACTATTCAAAAGACAATTTAATTATATAATTTAGCTTATATGATATTGACGCACTGCTCACAAAGTGACAAACGCCAATAATAATAATAATACTAATAATAATGCATTGGTTTTATACAGAGCTTTTCAGGACACTCAAAGACGCTTCACATGCCATTATTTCTTCACTCCATCCACAGTGGCCACGTCTGCCCTGGGGCACACTGACAGAAGCAAAGTAACCAGTCTGTGCCATGGCCTCTCCGACCACCAACCCTTCACACACACACCAGACTCATTCTAGGCAATGTGGGTAAAGTGTCTTGCCTAAGGACACAACCACAGTTCGATTATTGCTTATGGCCCATTTTATGTCAAGGCAAGGCACGTTCAATTGTGTAGGGTCATACACGAGGCAACTCAAAGGGCTGAACAAAACACAGGGTAATAGTGAGTTAGTAAGTTAGTAAGTAATAAGTTAGTATGTTATCCCAGTGCATTAAAAGACACAGTCCTTCAGTTGTGTGCACAGTGTAGTTCTGACTCTGGCACCATTTTATACATCATTTATTCACAATGACTGTCTTTTACCAGTTTGTAGATTATACGTTGAAATATAGTCTGTTTCGTATGAGGGAAAATGGTTGTAGATGATTAATTCATATTATTGGGGGGTAACTGAAACAACTTTTCACTTAACCACAACTAAATCTGATTAGAAAACATATATTTCATACTTGTAAGAAGGAACCCTGTGAGTCAGTACTTTGGGCTGAGAGCTGATTGGCTGAGTGAGGGCGGTCCTCTGCATATATATATATTGTCAGTTTTTTCTATATAAAAACTGAAAAAAATAATTCCATTTCTGTTTTGAGGCCTGTATTTTGTCCCTCATTTTAATAGACTTTGATTATTTGTATGCCTTCCCTGTGGCGCAGCGGTTAAAGCTTGTATATCACAGCAAGAAGGTCCTGGGTTCAATTCCACCTCCAGGTCTTTCTGTGTGGAATTTGCACGTTCTCCCTGTGTCTGTGTAGGTTTCCTCCAAGTGCCCCGGTTCCCCCTACCTCTAAAAACAGGTACAATATGTAAGAATGTGAATGAATGTATGGTGCTGATCAACGGCTTTGAGTGACGAAAATGTAAAAATATCTAACTCTGACCATTGTAAAGTGCTTTGGGTGACCTTGTTCTGTAAAATGTCCTATATAAATAAACATTACTTACTTACTTACTTAATATTTTGTTTTGTTTTGCACTTTTAGTTGCCTTGTGTATGAACTTTGCTATACAAATAAACTTGCCCAGATGGATTGTTTCACATAGTTCCATCCTCTGTGTTTTTTCAACTCCGAACCAAGTCCCTGGGCTGACCTCTAGTTTACTCCTCAAGGTAAGACAAACAATCTCTTTGACTTTGAGTTCTTGCATCTTGATTGTTTTCTACTTTACTGCTCTTATAGCTTCATGTTCAGCTCCATTCTCTCTCTGACTATCTCTATGATTAACTCAGGTATAAATGCAAATGCCATGGCTCTGCAGATCTCGCGTGCCCTGCTTACTAATGCTTTCTAATCAGATGCATATGTTCCATTCCCACTCACACCTCTTGTCCGTCCATTAGGAGAAACTGCGATTTGATCCATCGGTCTGGCTTTTAAACTCCTCCATCACATCACGCAGAGTTAGCGGACGAGCTTTCGGGCGCCGCGGGAAGCCAGACCTCATCCGTATGCAACTATACACCCACGCCAGTTTGAACTCCGCAGCCAGGTATTGTACACGACAGTTTTATAGTTTTAATAGGTCCTCATTAGAACGTTCAGGACAAAATAATTATTACGGCAATAAAAGTTGATTGCGAATGGAGGTTAATGGATCTGGAGGATGAGTGTGTGAAAGCAGAGGGGACAGTCAGTTTAGGGAGTGATATTGAGGAGAACGTTTACAGGACGAAGAAATTAAATACAATGGAAAGCATCGGTCAAAACTAAATGACGGTCCCAGAGATATACGAGGAAAAACTAGACTGCAAACAATGATCAAAACAGAGAAAAGTCAATCCAAGTTCACCCAATGTTACCCATAACTATTGGATTATTTTTGTTATTGCTCCAGGATTGCTGCGATTTAATAGGCAGCTAGTTCAGAATTAGTTTTTATCTTCAATTTGTCAACTTGTCAAACTCTACCACAGGGACCGGAGAGATAGGAAAACCAAAAACAATGGAGAGGATTGTTCCAAAGTCAACACTGGTCCCACAGATGCACAGGCCAAAACAAGACTACTAACTATATTAAACAGAGAAAAGTCTTATGATGCTGACCCTACAGGCAAAATACTAATAACATGTCATCTACACTATCAACACCAACAACTCCCACTGATGTCTGCTGTCGTTGTGGCCTTGGGCAAGACACTTAACCTCTGGGAACAGCAGGTGCCACGGTGGTGCGGCTGCAGCTGTAAAGTGCCAAACTGCTGTTGTGACCTTAGGCAAGACGCTTCACCCCCATTGCTTATTATGAGTCTGATGTGTGTGTGAATGGTTGGTGGTGGTGGGAGGGGCTGTTTGCCTCGCTTCTGTCAGTGTGCCCCAGGACAGCTGTGGCTACAGTAGTTTATGTATGGAGTGAAAGAATAATGAGAGTCCAAAAAAGCGCCGTATAAAACCGATTTTTTTTCATCTATTGGGTTCTTTTGTATTGCTCCAAGAATGTCGCAATTTAGTAATTTCCTATTAAGAGAATAGATTTATTTTGTCAACTTGGCAAACTGTACCCCAGGAACTGAAGAGATAGGGAAACAAAATGCAAGTAAAATAACCTGATGTGTCTATGTTGATATCGCAATGTTTAAATCAGGTCCCTCTTTCCTTTCCTTAATCAAACTCAAGTTAAAATGTTTATGATTAAGGCTTACAGTCCATTATCTGAGATGTTAATACGGTGATAGTATGGATTTATAACACAGACATACACCATAACTTATCCTTTTATCTCAACACTCCCCTCAAACCTTATTGTCTGGTATCTTCAATTTCCTCTTTAGTTTTTTATAGTTTTACATTGCTATTTTCCCACAGATCTTCGAAGAGAACCTGACCTCCCACACGCCTCGCTCACACAAAATTAAATGGGAAAAATGTACAGATAATACTTGACTTGCAGAGGCATCTCTCGCCAGCTTAGATGAGTCTGTAGTAACCCCCTCTCCTCAGGTCTTCGTCTTAAATCAATCCAACAGCAGCTCATTCTAAATTCTGAGCCCACATTCAGACTCAGACAAGAAAAAGGATTTCACATTACACCCACTCTAAAATGTCTTCATTAGCTCCCAGTTCAGGCCCGGACTGACTTCAAAATCTTGTTTGTAAAACAAGATTACAAACAGTCTCTCCACAGTCTGGGTGCCTTAAAATATTTGGGATTTACTTGTGTCTTGTGAACCTGAGCACACTCTTAGATTCTCAAACCTTAGCCTCACTTAAATACGTCTTAAAGATACCTTCTTCCATAGGCCAATGTAATCACCAGGGTTTGTTTGTCTGTTCGCTAATAAGTTAGCGAGCAAGATGACTCAAAGTGATGGGTGTATTTATTTGAAAAAGCTCTGAAATGATGGAGTTGACAGGAAGATGGATGACCACTATTGCATTGGTCACAGGAAGTCACTTTTGACAGTGGTCTGTGCTCTACGAGTGCGTATAAACACTAAAGAAAGCATTCATCAAAACTAGATGATGGTCCCAGCGATGCACAAGGCAAAACCAGACAGCTAACATTTATTAAACAGAGAAAAGTCATTTGAAGTTTACCAAATTTCAACCATTTCTATTTGATTCTTTCGTAATGCATTGTTCAAGGGAAAGCAGTCTTGGTAGAGGTATGTGGTCTACGAGTGTGTTTGTAGTGAGGGACCTGTGACAGTGGGCAGTGTCCGCTTGAAGCTTGTTTGAGGAAACTTGAAAACACACCACAGTCGAATAAACAGCCTCGGTCTTTCAGCGGGGGCTTCGGGCAATGTGGAGATACGTGTCTTGCCCAAGGACACAACGACAGAAGACATGAGTGGGACCAACTAAATACAAGGAGATGTAAGGAGCAGTGGTTGTCATAGGCGCCCGGGGACCCATATATGTTAATGCTCGGCTTGATCAGGACTACCAGAGCAGTTTTTAGTGGTATAGGTGAAACCGGAGCACTTGGAGGAAACCTACGCAGACACAAGGAGAACATGCAAACTCCACTCAGAAAGGCCCTGTTCTGTTCCGACCGCGATTCGACCCTTCTTGCTGAGAAGCGAGAGTGCGAAAGTGAGCAAATGACCTCCAAATCTGAGGCCATGGGACTCTGTGGGAAAAAGGTGCCTTGCTGCCTCCGGGTGGATGCAGAGTGAGACTGACAGACTCCATCGGTGCAGCGTGTGCAGAGACGAGCCAAAAGTCCAAGCTCTGAATTTCCCTGTCCATCTACGTTCCCGCCCTCACCTCTGGGATTTGGGGAATAACTGAAAAGATGCGGAAACAAGCTGCATATGGCACTATTTTGCTTGGAGAATGATAATAACAATGCATCAGTTTTATACAGCGTTTTTTGGACTCTCAAAGACGCTTTATCTCATTATTCATTCACTCCATTAACTGTGGTGATTAACTATTGTAGCCACAGCTGCCCTGGGGCACACTGACAGAAGCGAGGCAACCAGTCTGTGCCATCGGCCCCTCCGACCACCACCAACCATTCACACACACACCAGACTCATTCTAGGCAAT